GGTTTGGTTTGGTTTGGTTTGGTTTGGTTTGGTTTGGTTTGGTTTGGTATTTAAAGTAAGACAAATCTACTTTGAGAAGCGAACTAACGAATAGAAAGTGTAGTTAAAAAAAGGTAGAAAAAAGTTAAAGTTTATTAAAAGCTAGATTAAATTAACTAGAGGTGTTGAAGGAGTCTGATGCTGACTTTTATTTGACCTTGTGTCAAAGTTAGAGCACTACTTCAACGTCAACTTTATTTTTTTAAATAGAAACTTCTATTTTTTATTACATATTCTTGTAGCTGATGTCGAGACGTTTTCAAAATACTATAATATAAAATAAAGTTCTCTTTTGTTAAATATTTTCTGAAATATTTTTTACCATAATATTTTTTAATATAAAATATGAAATATCTCATAAAGTTCATTTTTTGATAACTTTATTTTGATACTTTTATACGTAGAGTAATGAAAGGAATCGAATAATAATATTAATTTATACATTTACAATTTTGCAAAATTTAGTACGTCTATAAAATGCAATAAAATTTTTAAAAATATTTTTTTATTAATTTTATACAACAATCGATTTTTTTCATTATTTTATGTATAAAAGTACCAATATAAAGTTATCGAAAAATGAATACTTTATAAGATATTTCATATTTTATATAAAAAAATATGGCAAAATTTAAAATATCTCAAGAAATTCTTAAGGTGATGCTGGAGCCGTCTGTATAACCGACAAAATTACCATTTTCTATGTTATCGACTATATCTGTCCTTGTATATAGACAAAGATATAGACAAGGATAGCACGCTACATTGCACGCACACATACGCACGATGCACATCGACATTATACTTTTATATTACGCTTCTAAATCTTGATTTGGAGGGTTTATCGATGTTTTTCTTGTTGTGCAATTCGGGGGAACTTGTTTTCGCGTTCGTACCAATGGTATATCTCTTTTATGAAATACATCTTGTGACGAGCTGACAGCTCGCCGCAACTTGAGACGCCATATTGGGACAAAAGTAGGATAAGGAAATCTGTACTTTCGTAATTTTTTCTCGTTTTCTATATAAAATCGGAGTTCCCCCGAATCATTAATGTATGTACTGCAATTCTGGAGAAGGATTTTTAATTCTGTCAAATTAATACGACGCTACGTGCCGACAAAAAATGCCGGTAAAACAGACGGCTCCAGCATCCCCTTCGAAAGAGAGCTTAATTATAATGTTTTCAAAACGTCTTGACATCAGCTACAAAAATATGTGATGAAAAGTGGGGGTTCGTATTTGAAAAAAATAAAGTTGACCTTGAAATAGTGCTCTGACCTTGACTTAAGGTTAAGTAAAAGTCATAATCAGATGACCCCCTTAATACTAAACAATTTTTGTCTGAAAAGTTTCCTTATAAAACTTACGCGCGGGTTTTTAGATATTTGAGCGGATTGATCCCAACCTATATAATAAGACTTTTACGAGACGTCTAATTGTAAGAAAATAATTCATAAAGTTTTATTCAATTGTTCACGAAAGGATCATTGCTTGTTAATCAGTTCTCTAGATTTAAATGCTTACAAAGTACATTTTTTTAATATCACATTGGATTTATCCTTGTAGATGTAAAATTAAATAGCTATAATGAAAGGCAATAAAAGTAGTTAAATAAATGACTTAAATTTGACGATTGAAATAATTTATTAATCAACATATTGTCACACTCGGAAGCTGCGTATAGGGTTAATAGGACCAATATATTAATACTTCAATGCCGGTTGATTGTATACATATGCAAAGGATTATACACTTGGAACAAAAATCGTGCGAACGTGGACCTTTACAAGAAACAGAGGAAAACAGATCAAGCGGACAACAAACGTGATCAAGAAGTTTCATGACACGCGTGTCACAGCATTCGCGTCGCATCTATCAGTCAACACGACGCGTGCAATTGCGTTTACATACAATTACACGACACACCTACACGAACGCACTTCATCGTCGAAATAAAGATCGGAGACAACACGGTAAGACGAACAGCCGCGAACCCGGCCTCCGCTTTTTAGCCGAAAGTATACCGTTACGTCGGCCTCGTCGAATACCCGCTATACTCATATTACAAATTACAAGGATATCGCTTACACATATTGTTAGCCAAGAATGAGTATACTCCTACGCGCGTCTATAGAGCTGTCTTCTAGGCAAACTCGTATCCACTGTATACTTTAGCGAAACCGGTGGGCACTACAGGGTGTCTCGAAATTCCTCTTATCAACCGTTGTTCGACTATTTTAATTACTCGTTAATTATGTTCGTTCAGTAGTCCCTTGATTTCTTAGCATAGCATATTACGAAGACATAAAAGGATCGTGTGTTTTATGCCGAAGATAAATTTTACATAGAGTTTATTATAAATAAATTTCAATTTAAAGATTATTGAAAGATTCGTCTGTTATCTAAATATCTCCACGAAATGACGAAGGAACGGCGTCTTCGCTTTAGCTGAGATGCAAATTGTATCTCCGAGATATCACGTGTACACAAGGCATATCATCTGAAATTCATCTGTAACACTAGCGAGTTAATATTCGGAATTGGATGTTATAGATTGCGTCCAATTTTCATGAATACTACTTTGATCAATGCGCAGTTAGACGAGCACGGAAAAAAAAGATTTGCTACTATACAGGCAACTAACATTTTTTGCTGCGAGAGCTAATTAATTTTGCAATAATAGCAAAACCTTTTGCTGCAATAGCAAAGTTCAGCAAAACTTTTTGTCTCATATTTAACAAATAGATTTGCTGTTGCAGCAAAACCTTTCTTTTCCGTGAGAGCTTTCGGGACACCCTGTACACTTAGCTAAAAGTTGTACCACTCACTAAGTGAGGAACCAACTCACTGCACATATTCTCTAAACACATAACAGAGCAACTCGCTCGATGTATAGGAGCAAGGAAACTTTTCGCTTAACTGCAATTCGCGCTTTCGTCGCACTCCACTTTGTGCAAAGTCTGGGAGATCTATCGAGCGGATGTTTTCCCTCTCGTGCGAACAACCCTTATCCTAGTTGATGGCGCATAAAGAGCGTTGCGCTTTTTGTATCTTTTATTTACCGGAAAAAAAGATTGATGTTGTATATAATATATTACAAGACGAAACATTTTGTCATCTTCTTTGATTTTATGACAATAAAAACTTCTCGCATGCTCTCTTTCTCATGTGTGTACGAAATATTCTTTGATTCAATAAAATATCGATTCTGTACGTTACTATATTTTCGACAGTAAATTTTACATGAAAGAATTACATGATTATTTTAATCTGTCCTTTCTTGTAATTGCCTACTTATGTATCTAGTAGATATATTGTTATCCGAGCTTCCAAACGAATGACTCATTCGTCCATCATTGATCGAAGATAATAGATTCCAATTTAGATCAATATATCATCGACCTTCGCTCGATTGATCTCCCATGTGCTAAAATACAAAATCGAATCGCTTGAATGAAGAAGAAAAAGGGCACCTGCGTTCTCGCGAATAAACGTCTGAAACTATAAAAAATCTATAAGAAAACAATCGAACTTGGAAATGTTTATTGAATTTTCACGCAGGACACCTCCCAGAGACGCGAAATTCTCACTTCTCATTTGAATTTTGTAATTCGGAATACGGAAACGTTGCCGCGGAAACGAGATGAAGGACGAGGATTAAGAAAGGGCGCCCTTTTTCTTCGCGTGAGGGTTCTAGCAAACCGTCGCTTATCTCGCGAGGAGATTAAATTAGAAATCGAAAGAGGATTGGGCAATGTACCTTCACTTTCGTTTGTCCCTTTAGCCGATGACCGCTTGATTACATATTAGATCGTTTATGTTCGTAATGAAAATTCCCATAAGTTCTGAGCTGCTTGAAGCTGTACGTGTCAACAGCTTTAACTCTTAGCGGCCGCTTTCGTTTCGTAATCATCTTTACATTAAAATAAATATATTTTTATATCTATTTATTTATTTATTTTAATGGAAAGATATATAAATTAAATCCTGAAAATTAGTATTGCGATAAAAATTGATCGAAACGATGAAACTAAATTTAAAGAAAATGAATATATTAATCTAATAAGCAGATCGATAATTATGGAATTGACAAAAATCGACGTTTATGTAAAATGAGCTTAAAATCGAAGCCTACACCGCGAAGAGCTAAAGTTTTTTCTTTTCTTATTTTACAGAAGCTTGATTATATCACGTAGAACACTCTTCGCCAATAGAGGGTGTGTCGCAGACACTCCTCCAAGTCGAATTTAGTTTAATTCGCTTTTGTAGAGCATTCGCTATGGCTTCTAATTAGAGATAACGATCTCTCTCGCGTGGTTGCCCTTTCCCCTTCAAGTCTCCGCGAGATAATCGTCTTATCATCAACTAACGTTACATTCCTGTAAAACAAAACAGAACAGCTGGACCGGATCGAGGAGGGCATGGACCAGATTAACGCCGACATGAAAGAGGCCGAAAAAAATCTTACTGGAATGGAGAAGTGCTGCGGCCTTTGCGTTCTTCCCTGTAACAAGTACGACACAACTATTTTAGCATTTTTTCTTCTTTTTGTGCTGTCGCTCTTCTTCCTTTAAAAAAGAAAATCGAAAAAAGTTCTCTGCATACTTCATCGTCCCATTAAGTTTACTATTATTATAATAAGCTACACGATTAGACCGCACGTGTGCTAAGAGATAAATTTAATGCGCCTCATCCATATTTAAGAGATTTAACTTAGAAGATAAGTTGAATATAACTGAAGACATGTTGACCAATCACGGAATATTAAATTATAGAAAGTTGTTTAAATTTAACTCGTATATTACTTATAAACTGTAATGAAATTATATCATATTGTTATATAGCTGTTAGGTATAAGTTCCGAATTTTATATCAGAACTAAATTTTTACGAAAATTGCAAGTTGAAATAACGAAAAAAAGGCGCATTAAAATTATTAAAATAAATAATGAATTATTTATCTCTGTAGAGCCAGTTGCAAAGTGCAATTTATAAATTAACTAGCGCAAATCTGCAGAATTAGTGGAATTAATTTTATTAAACGTGACTACTCATTTCCGATTTTTAAATCGATCTTTCCCGCTGTCTATTGAACGTTAGTTCTTAAACTTTCCTCCCGAGACTGACTTAATCGCGTCGCTCGCGCGACAATCTTGCGCGCACAGAGGCGCCAGCTTTAAAGAAGATGAGGGCACGTGGAAGGGCAACGATGACGGCAAGGTCGTGAACAACCAGCCGCAGCGGGTGATGGACGACCGCAACGGTCTCGGGCCGCAGACCGGCTATATCGCCAAGATCACGAACGACGCGCGCGAGAGTGAGATGGAGGATAACATGGGCCAGGTGAACACGATGATCGGCAACCTGAGGAACATGGCGATTGACATGGGCAGCGAGCTCGGGAATCAGAATCAGCAGATTGACAGGATTAACCGCAAGGTGAGTAATAAAAATCGAGTAATGGCAGCACCGGCGTCCAAACGCTGCACCGCAGTCATCCGGCGTATATATTGGCATGGCTCTAAAAAAACTCACTCGGACGGCAATTTGCGCTCGTCGTATACTCGTCGACATACATATCGCGAGCCTTGATCGAGAGAACGGGTCGTCTTGGAGAGATCATTGGACTCGGAGCAAGAATAGAGCATTCAAAGCTTGGAGCTTCTACGGTTGTCACTGCACTCTTGCTCTGAATCCTTGATCTTAATTGATGAAAATTAGTAGATTGTTTGAAACTCGAAAAATTTACGGTGAAGATCGAAGGATAAAGAATTTCCTTGATCAGTTACGTTGTTAACGTTTAATGCAGAAGACTTGTACCTTTAATTCGCGAACGACGATCAGTTTGATAGATTAATAATATTTTTTTATATTCAAGACGCTTTACACAAATTTCATCAAGGTTGTAGGATTATCATTGAAACTGTAAGTCGGTTAAACCTAAAGTATCAAGCGATAACCTTCGAGACGTAATCCAGTATGTCGATGAGAATTGAGGTCCAATATACACCTGTGAATAGTGCTGCTAGCAATAGCGAATGGCTGTACTTCCGAAAACGTCCATGCTCAGATTTAGGTGAAACTTTGTGAATAGGTTCCTTTTAGATAAGAAACACATATACCAAAAGGATTTTTTGCGACTTTAAAGTTTAGCAACTTTTTTAACATTTTTAATTTGTTGGCTCCGCGCATACATTTTCCATGCGAAACAAACCAAAACAGCTCTCAAGTAATATAAACAAACATAAAGTCATACACAAAGTACAAATATATTAATTTGCTGCTTCTGCGTATACATTTTCCACGCGAAACGAGGTGCCGCGTAAGTTGACTTTCCACGCGTGGAAAGCTCACGCATGTACTTTGGAGGCACACTATGTGTCTAATAATAGTGGAGCCCCCCGTAGGGAGGAGGAACCTACTGCCTTCACGCATACACTTTTCACGCGAACCGAGCTTTACCCTCACCTCCCCCTGCTTTCGGGGGAGGTGCGGTAGACCCTCCCCACGCTTACGTGTGTACTGTTTATACACACACACAATTGAAGTATTATTTAAAAATTTATATTAACTTTCCACGCATGAAAAGTTTACGCATACACTTTTCACGCGAACCGAGGTT